ACCAGCTGCTTTAGTTTCACCAGGACAGGATTGTTTTGTGTTCACAGTGGGGTATTGTCAATAGTGACTGGAAGGGTGTCCAGGAAGTTTAAAACCAGAACAGAGTCTTCCAGGAGAGGCACCACTGGTGGAGTATCTATCCGGGGGAGGTGACTCAAGGCATCCACATTACCACTTGGCTTCCTGGACAGTGTTCTAGCTGGTCCAATTACGTGCTGAGAATAAGGGCCCAGCACTGAATTCTACCAAAAGCTATGGGTGGCATCGCCCTGTCTTCCTTCAGTAGCCCCAGCAGGGGTTTGTGATCTGTTGCTATGACTAATTCCCATCCGTAAAGAAACTGGTGGAACTTCCGCACACCTAAGATGACCGCCAAACCTTCTTTCTCTATCTGGACATATTTGCGTTTAGCATCAGCCAAAGGCCGGGAAGCATAAGCTATTAGGCGTTCCTCTCCATTGGGCCACCGGTGAGCCAACACTACCCCGATACGTGCAGGAGACATCACATGTCAGCACTACCTCTCGATCATAGTGGGCTAACACCTCAGATGACGATAGCTGCTCTTTCACTTTCCTAATGGCTACTTCTTGGCAATGCGACCATTTCCAAGGCTGACCCTTTTGCAGGTGTAAGGGTGCCAAGATGGAGGCCAGGTTCTGAATGAACTTTCTGTAATTATTCACCAGCCCAAGGACAGACCTAAGCTCCAGTACAGACATGGGAGCCAGAGCACCGTTGATTACCCTCACTTTATCTTCCAATGGGTGTAACTTGGTTTTGTCGACTCTGTAACCCAAGTAGGTCTCTTGGGGCACCTGGAACACACATTTTTCCCATTTAAGGCATACACCTGCCTGGGAGAAATGTTTAAGCACTATGTCCAAGTTCCCCAAATGCTCTTTATTGATCTTCCCTGTTATTAGCGTGTCATCCAGATAAATGATGACCTGAGGTAGATCTTGGAAAATGTTCTCCATGGTCTATTGGAAAAGGGCACAGGCTGATGATACCGCAAGCGGCAGTCTTGTATATCACTATAAACCCTTATTGGTGCTAATTGTGGTGTACTGCTGGGACTCCTCATCCAGTCGCAATTGCAGGTAGGCTTCACGTCCAGCTTCGTAAAGAACAGCTCCTCCCTCAACTTTGATTAGAGGTCCTCTATGTGAGGGATTGGATATTTGTCCAGCTACGAGAAGCAGTTTACTGTTTGCTTAAAGTCCCCACAAAGGCGAACCAAGCCGTTAGGCTTCATTATTGGTCCGACCGGTGTAGCCCATTCTGCAAACCATTCTGGTTTGATGATTCCTTCACTCTCCAGCCTCCTGATTTCTGCCTCTACTTCTGCCCTCAAGGCAAATGGCATCAGGTGGGTCTTGCAAAATCTTGGAATTGCTTCCTGGTCAACAGCTAAAGTGGCTTTGGCCGCTTTGATAGCCCCAAGCCCTTCCTGAAAAACTCCTGGGTCTTTCACCGAGGCAGCCATTTTCTAATCAAAATGTTGAGTCAATCCAGGTGAATCTTTGTCAACTAATTCTGCCCCAATGGGCTTGAGCCTAAGCTTTTACCACCATCAGTGGTAACTGCGCCAACTGCTTCTCTTAGGAGACCGAAACTGAAGTCATACCCTTAATCTGTAATAGTTCTCCAGTGTATGGTCTTAGTATGACTAAGGTCTTACGCAAACTTAAGGGTTGGAGACCCAAGTTAAAGACAGGTTCTGCAACCACAGATACAGCCGCGCTGGTATCCACCTCAATGGGAACTGGGTGACCATTTAACCAAAGATTAATTTTAACTGGCTCTGACTTGGATGTCGCTAAAGCAACTTAATTGTCCCAACCCACATGTAGGCTGACTTTCCAGGATGTGCACTCTACTGGGTACTGGCCAATGAGTTTTCTTACTCAAGTCAAATATTGTAGGACTCCTTTTCTGTCTCGAGTTCACATACCAGCAGCAACTATAATGACTTGCCGGTACAAATCCTGAAGAACTTTTTAGCCACTTGGCCGAGGCTTGGCTTTGTTGTGGGGTCCTGCTGTGGGCTGAGCTAGGGTTCCTCTGCTCAAGATATGCCCTGCGTGAGGCTCTGTGATTGCCTACACTCAAGTGGTGCTCTCCAAGCTCAGTTGGACAGGTGAGGGAGTCCACTTCCATTGGGATGCCCTGCAGTTCCCATGCTCCACTTGCCGCATTTACCAAAGATAAAGCCAGTTGTATTGCCTGTTTGGAGTCCCATGGGCTTCAGCTAGTAGGTGTTTCTGCATGGTTACACCATTAATCCCACATACCAAATGGTCTCTTAGCATCTTCTTCAGGGTTAACCCAAAATCACATGCCTCTGCTAGTTGTCGTAACCTCATAAAAAATCTTGATACATATTCCCCCATTCTCTAATAGCCGAATAAAACCAACAGCATCTCAGAATTAGAGGAGGTTTGGGGTCGTAACATTCCTTAACCAACTCTGCCAACTATTGGAAGGTTTTAGTGTCTGGTGTCTGTGGGAAAGTTAAGCCTCTTATAACCGAGAATGCTGCAGGTCTGCTAGCAGTCTGAAGGATTACTTATTGCTTTTCATCTGCCCCAATGTCATTTGCCCAGAAAAAGTATGACATTCTTTCCACATACTGGGCCCAGTCTTTGACGGCAGGATCAAATGTATCGAGCTTCCCAAGTAAAGGCATGATGCCAGAAATGCTTACCCCAACTCCAAGATGACTCTAACAAGTAAATATTCTTCAGGCACGTCCTGTTTTTTCCTGCCACCACTGAAATAACTACAGAGTATCTCATCATCAAGTCACCTTTGATTTAGTTGTGCGCAATACACTGACTGTGACCAGCTAACTTGGAGTCAGTCCCCTGAATTAAACTGCTGCTCTTGCTTAGAGGAGAGACATGCTCATGACATCATCACTGTGACGTAGCATGGGCCTTTAGGGTAAATGTCAATTTGCTTGGGATCATGAAGCATGACACATTGATGGAAATGTGTTACTGTTTGTAACAGAATAGCTTAATGTGGGCCTGACTATTGTGTCTGTGAATGTGATAATTGTATGGAATAGCTAGCTGTAATTTACCTCTGTGGGATCTTTCAATATCACATTACCCACGTCTTGTTTTCTTATGCTATGGCGGAATACATAACCTGCACTCAGATAATGTGGTATGCTGGAGACAAAGCCTACATCAATTTTTTAAAAACATGTATTCAGTTGGTTGCTTTATTAATTATTAAAGTGATCTAGAGAAAGCAGATTGTGATCTGACAGTCTAATGTCACAACAAATCCACCACCACTCCCTGATGTTACACCCGCACTTTAACAAAGACATGGTCAGTTTTAAATATCGCTACACTGAGCAAAAAACAACATACCATCTTTTCAAAGTGGTAGAGGATTTGTAAATTCACAGATATATGTGGTACTAGATTGGGAATGACCTCAAACTAGCTAGGCCAATAACAGGAGGTCATGTCTTACTATGTCATTTTGTGAATTTGAATTGCTAAATTACCCATAGTGTCCAGGGGGATGTGCAGGCTAGGTGGATTAGCCATGGGAAATGCAGGGTTATAGGGAGAGGGTGGAGGGGTGGTGGGGGATGGAGAGGTGGGTCAGTGTGGACTCAATGGGCTGAATGACCTGCTTCGACACTGGAGGAATTCTTTGAGTATCAGGATATTAAGAAGGGTATTACCATTTCACTTCATTATACCACTGAGACATTTTTACTACGCAGGGTAAACCTAGAAAGAGGGCATAATTTAAACAAAGGTAGTGGGATTATGGAAAATTTTGGCAAGTGTTACCAAACATACTGCAGCAAAAACATATTTGCGAGAACAGCTGTAGAAAAAAGAAGAATGGAATCTAAAGGGAAAAGCAACTTTGAAGACTTGAGAAAAGGGATTTGAACAATGGTAGATTTAAGGAGGGTTATGTAAGGCTGACATGAATTGTACCTGGTTGGTCAAGAGGAGCATGCTAAGGGCATGATCAGCAGAGGTTTGAAGGTGATTGGAGAGAGGGAGGATTTAATTGGATTAGAGTTCATACAAAAAGAGACCCTAGTGTGCAAGGCTATGTGGAGGAGAAAGACCAGAACCCAATACATAGGGGGAGCAAAAACAGAGAAACAAAGAACAGAAGAGATCCAAGACCAAATGTTTAAGAGTTGTTGCACGCTGTTCCTTGCAGATTAATTGTCTGAGTTACTTAATAAATTTGTTCCGACTTTATCACATCAAGCTTACAATTGAGATAACAAGGTGTAGAGCTGGATGAACACAGCAGGCCAAGCAGCATCAGAGGAGCAGGAAAGCTGACGTTTTGGGCCTAGACCCTTCTTCATTTTCCGAAACGTCAGCTTTCCTGCTCCTCTGATGCTGCATGGCCTGTTTTGTTCATCCAGCTCTACACCTTGTTATCTCAGATTCTCCAGTATCTGCAGTTCCTACTATCTCTGAAACAAGCTTACAATTGAACATCTTTTGCCTGTCTATCCCCATAAGAGAATAGGCATTCAGAGTCACTAAAACCTACCATGGGTCCCTGATGGGTCTAGGCAGGCAGTGAACACTTTCCGGGAGAAGGCCAGTTTCCAGATAGTAAGACTCTCCAAAATGGAACTCTGAAGGAGCCACTGAAGGACAAAATCTTTAACAGAACCATCAGTGATCGACAACATTTACCCAAGAATAAAGTCATGTCACCCAGAGATGAGAAATGGGTCTGTAATTGTAAACCTGATCAGGTGAGGCGCCTTCTCTGAATACAAACTTGAGCATTGTAACTGAGAGATGATGATTGAAGAGATCAGGAATTAAACCAATGGATTCAAGAATCTATGAACCCAAAATCGTCACCCATCATCAGATCCAATTCAGATGTATATTTTGCTGAAGAATTCAAAAACGCCAATGATTTAAAAGAATTTTATTGTTACCTTTGCATTAGAAAAAGCAAAGAGTTTTTTAGACAGAGGCAGTGAGCACAAAGGACAGTTACAAGGAACCTTCATACATAAAGCAGTTAGCTTATTAGTGGAGTCACGCAAGTTCAGGAAAAAAATTCCCATTGTTTAGTTAAAATAGGTGCCTATTCAGATCAATTAGAGTAGGAGATCCAGTGTTGGAATCAGATCTGTGCTACTCTTTGTTGTTCCTGCAGGTAGGTTTGTGCCAAACTACCACTGGATGGTAAAGGGTGCTGGTTTGGCTAATCCTATTATATAACCAGAGCAATTTGCTATCTTGGGTTCAGCGATAGACTGGATCAAAATCAAAACTTAAAACTCCACGTTTATTAAAAAGGAACATGATGAGTATTTCCTCACTCTGTGTACAGGACTTTACCTCAGTCACTGTGTGGTACTGGGACTGAGGGGCCAAGTGCCTCTTCTCATTTTTAAAAATCAAAATTCAAAAGTGATGCCAGTAGCAAATACAATATTCATGCAAATAGAGCTGTCTACAGTTGTTAAGGATGAGAAGAAACTGTTAAAACTCTGACTGTTACCATACTAGAGATCCATCTAAACCACTCCAAGTTAAGTCGTCAAATTCCGCATAGTTGCAAATACAACACTTTTAAGCTTAAGTTTGTTAAATGTGTATCTTGATGAAGTTTTGTCCACTTTTATTGTGTCAAAGTGCCACACAATCCCAGGATTCCACTTCCTACTTCCCGTTACCTACTCCACAAATGGTTACAGCAGCCTACTCTACATCTGCTAGCGAGCGACTAGTGTGGCAGCTCCACACCAGATGGCTGCTTGCTCTGCTAGGTCAGAAGTAGTGCCCTCATGGCAGCTCCTTGCGCTCTGCATTGGTCTCATTGATTACCTGTGGATAGACAGAAAAAAAAACTACATCAGGGGACGAAATTTTCAGAGTGGATCTTGTTCGATTTAGATTTCATCTCAAGTCTTTTTTCATCAAGAAAACTGTCTTTTAATCAGCAAAATAAAACCACAGGTTGAACCTATGATGATGGGCAGAACTGACATGGTCTTTCTCAGCAACAAGTGAGTCTCCTAATGTCAGCCCTGCCACATGGAGGTCCGCTGCTAGGGATAAGGTTTGTCTGAGGATGATTGCTACCTTGAACCAGTTTTTGTAGCTGGGGACAAACAGAGAGAGTGCTGGACAGTCAGATGTGCAGTCATTCAAGTAGGACACTAAAGCTAATCCTCTCTGCCCTATCAGGTTGATGTAAAAGATCCCACAGCCACAATTCACAAAACGAGTTTGAGAATTTTCCAACCAGTGACATTGGTTTTGACACAATTTAATGACATTGGTTTCCATCCCTCAACCAATGTCATCAAAACTGCCTTGTTTGTTTCGCTGAACCTTTGGTGGGATCTTGTTGTGCATACATTGGTTGCAGTATTTCTCACAGTGCAATAATGATGACAAAAATAGCCCATTGACTTTACAGAGCTTTGGACCAGAGTTCAGGAGAGGCGGTCTAGAAATTCAAGTCTTTAAACTTGCTTTTAGTTTGTAAAACGTTGCGTTTGTGATAAAGTTATTTGTAAGCTTAATAGGAATTTTGGAAGGTCAGGTGTAGCTTTATTTTTAGGTTTAGCACACACTAATACATGAAAAAGCCTGTGTCAGTGTTTGACCTCATGCCTGGCAGTACGAATCTCACCAGTCCATATTAAGATTTGAGACTGGCAGCATCAGGTTCAGGACTGGCTTTGATTGATTGCTGGGCCAGCACTGGGCAGAGGTGCGACCTGCAAAGTAGACAATATCAGCTGTACGTGTACAGATTCCATCTGATTGAAAGGGGTGGCATTCCCTCAGCATACCAACCTGACCATCCCTGGTTTCCACTGTTTTTATCAGAATGTTCCTTCTTGCCTGAATATCCGTGGAGCCTTTAGATTCGAGGCTTGTCTCTGTGGGAAGAGTGCACACAGGTCATTGACATATTTCAGCATGAGACAAGAAATGTGTTCCAGGAAGCTTCTCAGGAGCAGGAGAAGCGTTTGAGTGTTTAATGCGGACTAGGTGAGGTGGTTAGGGGAGGGGGTACAGATTAACCTGCTACTCAGCTCACTCACTGATTTGGTAATAACACTGAGATTTCAGCCTTTATAAAGAACTGGCTGAGGCATGATACTAGCGTTTCCCTTCAGGGACCCTCCCAGCCTGGCTATACCCTCACCACTTACCCATTTCAAACAATCCCAGTTGTGATGTAGCTGTTACCTCAAAGTCCAACCTTGTTGAGTCTTCCTTCTCCTCTGGCATATCCTTCTCCTCTTGAGCACCTCATCTTATTTCCATATCCACATCTATGTCCTGTCCACACAAATATCTCCCCAGATTTCTCATCAACATACTTCTTTGCTTTCTTCTCCCAGCCTTTGCTTTGAGTGATTTGCCACTGTTGTCCTCTCTCCTACCCATATTGACAATCCCGGACTGGACTACAGCTACTTGCTATCCCTAGTGTTTCACTGAGAAGGCAAATTAGTTCCTTGGATTGCTCTCTCCTCACATTCCCCTCACCCACCCAAGACACAACTTCATTCTGTTGCAACCCTGGAAAAAAGTATTCCTCGATGCACTTCCATCTGCGCTCTCAAATTCCCAACTATCTCAGCTTCTGACCATTAATTCAAAATGACACATTGTCCACTATATGCCAATAATAATTTAGTACCCTGCTTCCCACTATTTGCGCACGTCTATGCATTTATTTCTCCACTCTCTTTGACATTTCTCTGCCTCCAAATTGTTGTATGAGCTCTAATATCACAACTGAAGGACAGTCCTGCAATTAAATACAGGGAAGACAGAAGCCATTGCCCTCAATCTCTGTCATAAACTCAAAGAATCATAGAGTCAAACAGCACGGAAACAAATCCTTTGGTCCAACTCATCCATGCCAACCAAGTTTCCCAAACTAAACTAGTTCCATTTGCCTGTGTTTGGCCCATATCCCTCTAAACTTTTCCTATTCATGTAACTGCCTATACACCTTTTAAACATAACTGTACCTGTATCTACCACTTCATCTGGCAGTTCATTCCACACATAAACCACCCTCTGAGAAAAGTTTGCCTCTCAAGTCCCTTTTAATTCTTTCTCCTCTCACCTTCAAAATATGCTCCCTCATTTTGGACTCCCCTACCCTGGGGAAAAGAACTCTGCTATACACCTTATCTATGCCCCTCATGATTTTATAAACCTCTGTAAGGTCACCCCTCAACCTCTTATGCTCCAGTGAAAAACGTCCCAGCCTATCCTTGTAACTCAAACCCTCCAGTCCTGGTAACGTCCTCATAAATCTTTTCTGTAGCCCCTCTAATTTAATAACATCCTTCCTGTAGCAAGGTGACTAGAACTGTGCTCCATCCCTGGAAACAATCGGAATCTGAATAAAACTGTTTGGAGGTGTGGACTGGAATGAGTTGCAGAGATGGTTGGGGGTTTAAAGTAATTTGGCAGGGAATGGGATACAGAGTGGAGTTGAAACACAGATAAGTATAGAAAAACCAAGTCAATACAAATACAGAGATAGTAGGAACTGCAGATGCTGGAGAATCCGAGACAACAAGGT